TTTAATACCGCAGTTCAAAATATATGAACTTCATATATACACTTACTCTTAAATTGTTGCACATGTTTGAGCAACACTGGATCATGCAGAGCAGAGGAAATTGTCAACATTGTAATGAGTTTTACCTTTCTTGACTAAAGCCTAATGGGCCATAAATGCAAAACCCTGTGCTTTATCCATGCAAACTAAATATAATGTATGTCTGTTGTGTTCACGCGTACTCTTGACAAATAAAACCTCCCAAAAATACCAAGAAAAAGAGGAAAGACATTTCTTGATACTTGGTAAAATATTCAACAGCTACCACAGGGAATGTTAAGAATTTTGTATGAAAAATTTTTTCTGTTAAATCTAACTCCAATTTATTTAATCCAAAAAAACTTTATTTATCTTACTCGATGTTCATCTCAGTTAGCTCTTTAAGTCTTTAAATCTATGGGCTTTAACATAATTCCTGACCATGCAGCTCATCGATAAATTATGTGTGTTCAGATCTATATGATGCCCAGTTAGTTAACTGAGTACATATATATATATATGTCATGAGAGGAAACATCTTTGTAAAACATTTAGCATTCTTGGAATTGTTTGGTTCAACAAGCATCAGTTATAAAGAGACTTAAGAATGATACATTTTTTGCCATTTTAGAAGAAAATATGTCCATGTCTTACCATCAGTTCCCAGTCTACCTCATTTATCAGTACTAATATACCAGGCCGTCTGAAAGTTAAGAAGAAAGTATTTTATTACAAAATACTAAATAAATATTCAACATATCACTCAGACGAATTCTGAGGCTGTCTGCTTGTACCAACCACTATAGCTGTCATTCTTTTATTCAACTCAAGATAATCAAAATGTGCCAAAAGTAATTAAGTTTTCTGTTGTGGATTATATTAAAGAACAAAGGAGTAATAAAGTAATAATGATAACTAAACCCGTTATCCAAAAACATTAATAACTTGTTACTCTGAGTTAATCCAAGGTAAGCACTTAACAATACACAATGATTCATACACTGATTCTCCTTGAACGAACAGTTCTGGTCTTTCCTTTAGCAAGTTGTCTTTGATCCATACTAGTAATCTTTTAATATTCCCTGTTGGAAAAGAGAAAAAGAAGTAGAGGGTACGCTTTTTTTAATTGAAGAAGTACTTAAAGTATTTTTATCCTAAGTATCTGTTTACATCTGTAGGCCGTTTGCGACCTTTTAACCAAATATTTATCTTTTTTCAAGGAACATTCAACTGACTTGCGAACCGCTAACTTCTTCCGAAAATTAGCTCTTAATTAAAATAAATAGGGATAATGTAACTGATGAGATTCAACCGAACACTCACATGGCTTCTCATCCTTTGGCAAGACCACGTCATGCTCCTTTACTTTATTGAATAGTAACTCGGCGCCGCCGCTTTGAAAGAAGAGAAACTTCAGTCAACGTTTATATTGAAATCAAATCGATCTGCAGCAGGGAGACTGGGAGAAAAACTGGAACAGAAGCCTACCTAAATTGTATTGAAATCTTCAGTTTGTCCGCCATGTTACCTCCTTGCGCGCATGTCCCTAGTGTAGCTGTCCGCTGTACTGAGTTTTGCGTGCGCCCCCATGTCGATATCACTGTATCGCCTTTTATGAAAATAAGTTCCTAAAACTGACCTTTCCTTACTAAAGCTCAATCCTTAACGAACTTGGCTCTTTTTTATGTTAATTATAACTCGCTCTGTTTTCGTATTTTATCTTGTACAGGAGAATCTCCCCAAACACAAACACAAACACAAGGAAACATTTGTGTAATCGTTCTGGTTAAGCGGGCCTCACTCCGTCCTTTTCATTGTAGTTTTAAAAAGACGAAGCCTAAGTATCACTTTTTTCCTTCAAGTAAACGTTCATTACCTGTAATGATTAACAATCTCACGATATAATTCGGCTTTCCCTATGTGCTCGTAATTGCCCAAATTGTGACGTCATATTCGAATTAAACTCTAGTTAAAGTCGCGACATGCAAGACAAGCAATTGCAAGACGATCAAGAAATAGTAGCTTTGTTTTGTAGTTTCGAAAAACCACGCCACAGTTGGTAATGTTTTGGAAAATATCTTTCAGGACAAATTGTGTCAACTACAAAGGTATTTCCTATGGTAATAAGTTTTCTCGAATTGGTTTTTTATTTTGCTTCTAATTGGTGGCTTTCTATATTATGTGAATTTTTTTTCCTGACAACTGGGCAAATGATTTTCATTTACAGAAGTCGATATTTTTGCTCAAGATGGATCTCGTTCTTCCACAAGAGAATATGACATCTTCTCGTCTTCCAAGATTACAACAAAGTCTGCGCATCGTAGGGAGACAGTTAAGTGAAATAGCGCGTATTTGGTTATTTCTTTGGAGCTTGATGTGCCCTCAACTTAAATTTAGCAAACCCACCGGTCTATAAATCCTGCGTAACAACAAGTACCCTCTATGAAGTATGTACATCGAATAAGAGAGTCGGGTAGGAGAAAGTGTGTTCATCGGGGCGGTGGCAAGGCAGTGGGGGGTGGGGTATGGTGAGGACGATCCTCGACGATATTACCGAGTGGAGTACGAGTAATCTGCATCAGCGTTTCCATGCATTTGAGGCATGTCAATGTATTTTAACATCGTTCTTGTAAATAGCTTTTATAAAAAGAAGCAAGAAAAGTGTTGAATGCACATCAAGACTCCTAGATATGTTTGTGCGACCTGATTGATATCTTCAGTCTGCTTAGGTGCATTACCAACCTCGTTCCCAGGGTCCCTCACCTTCCCACCCGCGCCCCCTGGAGCGAGAGAGGGGCGGGAAGATGAGAGACCCCTGGGAACGAGGTTGATGCAGTACTTCTGTCTTCCACGAGTGGCTTACTATATTCTGGATGTTAGACCAGAAATTTCAGAAATTTTTAGAAGATGCAGCGAATTTAAACCTCATCAAGTTTTTATCGTGTCGCAATTTTCTGTAGGATTCGAAAACTTCCATCGAGGATTCGACGAGCGGCCAGACGGGGCCTGGAACGGGTCCTTGTTCGTCTTGGAATTAAGCGTCACTCAGAAAGAAAGTTAAAACTAGAGCGATTCCAGAGCAGCACTGACAAAATATTTAACGTAAAACGTCGTGGAAGCCGTGGAGCTGAAGAATCTTCAGGTTTCATCAGCGAAGAAGAGTTAGAGGATGAAGATTTTCCTCCAGACTACAGCAACACCGAGCTTAAAATGAAAATTAGACCGACAGACAGAGGAAATTTCTTGACTGAAACTGATGGTCCTATTGAAATCGAAATGATAGTTTTCAAATAGATATCGAGAAATAGCGATTCGTCAGAGGTATGAAGGTAAAAGATATGAAAGGAAACTTTAGACTAAAATTGTACCCAGATCCTACCGTGTAACTAACTGAAACCCACAGCTTGGCCGTGGAAGATCTGAGTACGAGAATAAATCAGGACCACACCCAATGTACCTGCAACATGTGCTGCTGCTTTGACTACAGATTTGATTCCCTAAACATGTTCCAACTTCTGGAAATATTGTGCCTTCTGATAAGGGGGAACAGAATTTCAATAAACAAGAACTGTGTCATGTATCATGAGATAATTTTTTGGCATTGAGCCATGTCACCCCGAGTTCCATGTCAGTTTTATGACAAGTATTATGTACTATTTGTCTGCTAAAGACTGAACTGAATAAAAGTTACTTGTAAGTCTGCATGGTCTCCAAATGCCGCTCTTATACTGTCTTTATTGAAAACGCGAACAAGAAATTTATTAGTGCAATCCGAACTCGGGTACTCAAATACCATAGAATTTTGGAGTGGAGTCTCTTAAGCGAATAAAACTTCAAACATACGATCAATCCTCAATATATGTTTATTAATAAAGGAAGTTCGAGTATAAATAAATAGCGGACATAAATTATTTTCTGGTGGACCTGAGGTTTGACATACTGATGGAAGATAATTCAAACGTAGCCCTTGAAAATCTGTGCGCCTCTGATATACGTTTTAGAATTCAGCCATCTGAAAAGTTCCAGTGAATTCAGTGCTGGAGAACTTTCCTGGGATATTTTTTGGATGAATTTGGTGGTTCGAGTACAGTTGAACGCACGTACATTTCAGAATGCAAAAAAAGTCAAAGTTCGTCTCTTTTTCCCGACAGACATTCCCTTTTCGTCTCTATCGCTCGGGCGCTAGTAATATCAAGATAATTTATAGCAAGCTTTTTAAACTTCAATCTAAACTCCACAGCAATACGCTGCCTTGTTGGAATATCCCTGCTCAAGATCTTTTCATCCTGTGGTATTCCAGTAGTTCTACCTAACATTTCGTCTCTAAGGTGAAGCATTAACAAATTTAAGGCGACTACTTCGTCTTTGCAAGAGTATGAAGGGTTAGTTTCGACATGAAGCGAAGGACTGTTGAATATTTTCTTTAACTCAGATAATTTGCTCGGATTGCTTCCTGCTCGCACTAAATCGTCGATCTCTTTGTCCGAAAGTGCTTGTACTCTATAACTTGGAAGACCTGCTGCCTTAAAGGTGAATTTCTCTCTGTATATTATTTTGTTCTTGAGTTTTAACATGTCCACAAATCTTCTCCGCATCCTGCTCTTTTGCTCTGGCAAAGGGGTGAAGAATCTGCTTCCTTCAGAAACGAACAGGCCATATTCTAGAAGTGTTTGAACGCTGTCACCATTCGGATTGACGTCAATGAATATAGTGTCTCCCTCTTCAATCGTAGTGTTAACATATCTGTAACGTAGGGTGCCACCCTTGGTCCACCATGTTCCACCAACACTGGGCCGATATGTGAACATGTTCAGGCCCTGAAAAGTGAAAATAACCATACGTTTTCAACAACAAATGACATCGCTATACCGAAACTAAACTTTTTTTATCAGAATTTCGCACCAAATATTGAAGGTTGACACGGTGGTAGTTTCTAGAGAGACCCATAGACCTTACGCTTTAAAACGAAAGATGCACTGGTTTTATGGCTGGCATTTTAGGGTTCCAGCCTTGGCTGGAGCAGGACCCTCATATGGGCAACCTAGACTGGTGAAAACCTTGTGCTTTTTACACCTTTGATGCAAATGGCAGGGAAAAAATTCCCAGTTTATATTAAAAATGCTGGACTGGTTATGAGCACAAGATTAGCCAATCAGATTCAAGAATTTAGGATTACAGCCCACTTAGATGTTTCAGAAAAATAAAAGAGGTTATCTTAAGTGTCAGAACGGATTCCTGCTGCCTCAGACCCAGATGCTTCTGCATTTGATCAGGCATTCTTTAGTAAGCTCTAATATTCATAAATGGCACTTTAGGGTCTAACACTTAAGACTCAAAATGACAAATCAGACTGTAGTGAAAATTAACTTACGTACTGGCACTAGAGTCCAGACTGGGTGTCCTGAGTGACTTGTTATGTTGTAACTGTTTGATTGAATGGCACAAACTGCATTTATCTGAAGCAAACATACAAACAAACAAACAAATTCAACATACACCTAATTGGAATAAATTGTCATAAAAAAAGCAAAAACACAAACATAGAAAAAAACAAAAAGGAATTTATTAGCCATTAAAACTACCCTTAGGCTAAATACCCTGCAGCCAAACAGTTTCCCCAAAATTCTTAAACAAAAAAATCTTTCAAACTTTGCGAGAGTAACAGATGTTTAGAGATTTTGAGTGATTCCAAACATCAAAAATAATCTCTATGTGATGATGCCATGTCCTTATGCAATATCATAATTAATTTCAAGTTGGGTTTTTGAGTGTAAACCACAGATCTGAATTGGTCATTTCACCACACAAGCATTATTTAAATTTACCTAGAACTAGTAAAATCGCATCAGCAAGACTCCATTATCCATGTAAAGCTCTCAGTGTTTATAGTAGAAAAAAAAAAAAGAATACATGCAGCTGTTTCACGATGATACTCCTAGGTAATGTGACATTCAAGTCATAAACTTAACTCACAGAGCTTGAAATTACAAAAATTCTTGATTGCAATTTGCAAGTAATTCCTAAAATTTAGTCCCAACCCCTACTGGATCTGGAAATTAGAAACGAAGATTTCCTAGAAATTTCATGAGTGTTGCATGAGGTAGTTTCTGAAAAAGTGTGTTCACGATAAGTTTCTTGGAAAGAAATCAACGATAAAAGTCATGCAACATTTAACTTGAATTTTGCAGGATTTTTCAAATAAAATTACAGCAACCAGTTTAAGCAAGACACAAGACTGTTAAATATAATTTATTTATAAACTAGGCTGTTAAACAGTTGCAAAATCGCTACCACTGGAGAAATTTTAGTCGCAAAGAGTGAAATCTTTATTTGCAAATGCGCCCGATAAAAGGTGCAATTTCAAGGCCTGACTCACACTTAAAGAACTTTTGTTTGCAAAATATCATGGTGGAATCAAAAGGAAAAGTTACTTATTGATCACTTAAAGGGTTCACATTTCAAGGGAAACACCTGCTTACTCAAACAAACAAGGAGACAAAAAAGACACTGACATATTTATCACATGAAACAAGCCAAAAAATAAATGAGAATGAGCCCTAATAAGGTACCCCTCCACTTAACTGACAATTGAGCTAACCTCCTGGTTAGCTCAATTGGTTAGAGCACCGAATTGTGTTGTGCGGGAGGTTGAAGGTTCAAGCCCCAGCTGGACTAATACTCATGGTCCTAAAATAAGTGAGGAGAATTTGCTACCTTTCTATAATCAAGAAATGGATAGATATTATAGTCTTCTCGGATAAGGACGAACAAACCGTAGGCCCCGTCTCCTGCAGGGTAGAGGGGTAGGAGACGTTAATTTCCCACGCATGAGATTACTTGTGGATGTCCTCCCATGGGGTGGGATGGGAGGGAATTGGCCCTGAAAAGCCCCCATGGGGAGTGGTCAACTAACGTATGTAACGTATGTATGTATCAGTTACTGGTGTCAAGGTCTTAAATGATATTTTACCAAGGTCTCTGGAGTAAGCTCCTTTCCATAAAACAAGCCAAAGCTGTTCAGTTTTGGTGTTATGTTAGCTGCCAGCCTGGAGGCCGTTTCCTTCCAATCAACTGCTCTCTCCATTAGTTTTTCATTTTGCAACTCACTCAGCTCCTCTTCACTCCACATCCACAATGCATTGCACTGATGGTTGACAAGGATATTCAAGTAAGGTAGCCATTGCTCATTGCTGGTGTGAATAGAATAAAGCACAAATATTGCCATCTGCATCAACTGCATTACTTGTCGTTCTAAGTAATCTGGATGTTTAAGGATCTGGTGCTGTAGAAGGGATAGCTGCTCAAGCGTTGGACCAATGGTTGACCTGAAACCACACAAAAATCACTGAATACTTTGCTCTGCATTGCTCACCCTAGATCAAATTTACTGGAAACAGTACAAATATATAATAAAAAGTACTTTTGCTTATCACCAAATGAAATTTTATATTTTTCAACCTCCTTCTTTGATCGCTAATAGGTCGAAATTCTTCGTTAGTGCAAAATTAATTTTTTTTTCAGCTAACCATGTCAGGGACTGTGTGATTAAAATTCAATTTAAGGGGTGAAAAATGAAAAATAACCCCCTAGATTTGGAAGTGCAAACGAGTTCAAGGATCACAACACTGTAACTATTAAACTTGAGTCTAAAGAAAATCTCATATATAAATTTTAATTTTTCCTTCCTATCAGCCCCCGTCCACCCTTTCTTCCTACCTGCCTTTATCTGACTGTTATTGATAAAACTTTCAGTAGGACTTTGTCGAGACTACCATGGGTATCAAAGGTTTTTTTCTTTCTTTTTAGGGTGCTCGCATCTTACAACTTTCGGAACAAGGCAAGAAGGTATGCTTGACCACAAATGCCGGTTTTGGCTACAATTGACATTATAACGTGGATTCAAGAAACCAATATATTCTATAGAAAGAGCAGCCTAGACATGTATGGGTCTAGAAAAGTTCTCACTGTACTTTTCAATCGCGGCAGAGTTCACTCGTAAGGACTCGGGAACCATCAAAATGGACTCTTTGTCTTCAATACGTCTATCAGCTACAGCAGCGAGCTTGTGGTCTTTCCTTTCAAAAAATTTGCAACGGCATTTTCCACCACGATCATCAAACCACTTACGAAACTCATCCACGTCACTACTTGTCTTTGATTCTTTGCCTTTGAGGAAACTAACGAAGTTCACAGTCAACACAAGAACGCTCGCTAAATTAAATTTAGCTTTCATTGTTCATAAATCCTTCGAAAAACTTCCAGAAACTTCGATGGAGCGTCTTCTGATACAATATAGCCGTCAAAGAAAGAAAAGACCCAAAATCAAAAGAATAGTGGTCCCATTAAAAATTTAGTATCTCGCAGGCAGGCAAAAGACTGAATTTTGAAAGGCACTCTCTTTTAAAATTGCGAAGAGATTAGGACCGAGTTGTGCTGGTTGCCAAGCAAAACCAATATGGCGGAGAGTTCGTCCATTGTAAACAAGCCTCTCCATTTGAAGTTTACTTGATAAGTGGTGATAATGTAGTCTCGTTATCGCTTTAAATTTGGAAATTTGGACTCAAGGAGTGGAATATTTTTTTAAGTTTTTGTATTCTTCCCTTTTGCCGCAAATGGCTCTGTGGTTAATCGAATTTTTGCACTTAAAAAAAAAGTTGACTTGGAATTATTGATCAAGAAAAAGAGCTTCAATCATGGAGAAAGTGAGTTAAATTTGCTTTTTTCCCTAAAAGTAATGCGGATTATGCTACTAGGCATCACATACATCTTCATGATCACCTATCTCATGTTTCATTAAGGAAGATACTGGTATTATGCTTACCAATTATTCCACGAGCACGCGTTGGATATGAGATGTTATTAAAAACTAGATCATTGGATAATGCAATTCAAGACTTTTTATTGGCGTAGCCATTATGGTATATCAGCCAATATATCGTAATCTACAAATATGGTAAGCGTACGTGTCAGGTTAAAATTAAATGGGAGCTAAAAATTTTATAAAATTTAATAATTTAATTTAACGTTTTTAATAAAACAATTATTCCACTCGCGTTTGTTGGATATGAGATGATTATAGCCAACTCGGCGCTACGCGCCTCGTTGGCCATCTATCATCTCATATCCAACGCGCGCTCGTGGAATAATTGTATACTTGACACTTTTTTCTACTTTAACGCACTTATTTTTCGTTCTTTTTCAGCACTAATTCAAACGTCACTTGGCACTCATTGGAAGGATATCTTTTTCAAACTTTTAGTGTCTGCAGCTTTACAATTAAAATTATTCAACATATATTTACGGAAAAAGTTTAAAGAGCGCGATGTAATTTACAACATAAAGATCACCTGACAGAATTTGCCAGAAGGACAGTCTGTGCACATATCAGCAGAGGACAGCCCAATGCGATTACCATAGGTTCCTGGAGGACATG